AGGGGTAGACCTAGAACCAGATGGAGGGATTATATCTCTTCGCTGGCCTGGGAGCGCCTTGGGATCCCCCAGTCAGAGCTGGTTGATGTGGCCAGGGAAAAGAAAGTTTGGGGCTCTCTGCTGGAACTGCTACCTCCGCGACCCGACCACGGATAAGCGGGAGAAGATGGATGGATGGACCTTTTATAAAATACAGAATAACTGCCAAATATGTTTCTGTCAATAAGCTGGTTACACTGCAAGAGTGTATGACATTTCAAATACATTTTAAATCATGTGGCTTACGGATGACTTTTAGCATCTCAAGCTAAGTTAAATCAAGGTCAGAGGAAATACTGTTTCGGTTTTTAAGCCTAAGATCTTTTACTTACACGTATGCAAAATATCTTGCAAACCATGAAAGAACAGAAGTGCTTTCACATTAAATGTGGCTAGGGCTGGAAGTCATGTGAGCCAGCCAAGGCTGATTAGGTGTATGAATTAAAAACTACTCAGAACTTCAAAGAGGAAGCAGGTACGAGACCAAAGAACTGCCTTCAAAACTAGAAGGTGAGTATTTACAACAGCCCGATTCAGCAGGAGGTGCTGAGCACTCAAGTTAGGGTTTGCTGGACCAAGAAACTAAGCAAATACCCTGTGATATGAGGTAAGCCAGGCCCCAGATTTTTTTTTATATTTCCTTTAGAACTTTGTACCCAGGTGTGGACATGAAAGGCTGAAGGGGTTGGCAGGGATTTTATTTGGATTTGCAAAGGCGTATTTTGAAAAGGGTATTTCTCTGAAAGACTCAACTGTTCAACACTGAGTCTGCAGATTCAAAATGTTCAGAAACTATGAATGGAACCCTTTATAGTAACCATATTTGTCTTCCTTTCTACCTTCAAAAATATTAAAATGTTTGAATCCACTGGTCCCATTGATGCAGGCATGCTAGTCATTACAGAGGAACTACCCTCCTCCACCACAGAGTGTTCAATCAAGCCAATAATGAACCACTTCATCCAATTCCACATCCTCTTTGGCCAGTGCAGCTCACAGGCTGGCATGTTGCGTGTGAAGAAACTGGATTACTGAAGTCCTTGCTAACCACATAACACACACACAACTCCATGTAGGACAACTGGTCATCTGGAAGACATTATCGGAACTGCAGAGCGGGAGGGGTTTTTCTCAGAAGCAGTGAACTCCGAGATGGAGCGCCAGAGTTTCCCTAAATAGAAAACGAGACACGCTGCCCTGCCATTGCACACCTTGGAAGTGTAACCTTTCTCTCAGACAAGATATCTAACACGGCTGCCATTCTACAGCCAATGTTTTTTCTGAGAAACCTGATTCATAGGCTGAAGTTATATTTAAACTTCTAACCCACCCACACATCCAATGTTTCATCAAAGAAAATTGCCCAAAGCCACATCCTAAGGCTAGTTTTATTAAAAAGGTAAGATTTCTGAAATAAGAGGTTTCAAACATGGCATTTTGTGAATACTTAAGACTTTTCAACACATGTTTTAGGATTAAATAGCCACATATTGAACAATAGGTTAAATACATCTTCCTTGCATGTTTCAAGTAGCTCAGTGATAAACTCTTTAACGGGAACACCTGTCAAAAGAGATCCAGAAGTATTTTTTGTTTATTTCTTTATTTACAAATCTGTAATCTGTGGATGGCCTCTGACTGAGACGGGGTGACCTGGAGATAGAGTTGCTTCTTGGTACTGTCAATGATGTGATAGTTTCAGCAACGATGGAATTGTATCAAGTAGCAGACAAGATATGGCAGACATCTTTCGAGCTATCGGTGATGACTTCTGAGATGGCTTGGCATGACATCAAGCGCGCAACATGCAGATACTCGCCGGAGCCGATGGAACACGTTCAAATATACACACAAATCATTTAGAAACAGTTTTTGAGTTACTTTACGCAACGATAATACTTTTTGAAGTATATAGATAGCACAATGTACCACATCTCTTTAACCTTTTACAGAGTGCATGAGTTGGATGTATTTTATGCAAGTACTTAAGGGTAGCTGAAATTCTGGTTTACTCTGGAGGGCTGTTTACATTCAGCCACACGCATTAGCAGCTAAATTATAATACCTGACTGTATAATCAATGCCACAAACACACTAGATATCTTTGTTTTACAGAGCCACTACAGTAATAGCACAATTTTTCCGGTGTCCTGCTCTATTTAGAACAGCAGAGGGTCTACACACTGCATGAGACACTGTTCTAATTTTCAATGGATTTTTTTTTTGGGAAGGAGAGTATGGAGATAGGGGCCCCTTGGACGTGTCTGTACAAGCCTGCATGTTTAGCAGAGCTTCGCATGATATCCCAAAAGGCCTCAGCCAGGCAGTTAGTGAACCACAGGTTGAGGAAGTCAATGCAGCTGCCACTAGTGCTGCTGTGGTGTTGGGGGGCCCAGCCTGAAACCGTATGTCTGAACCGAACAGACTACAGACTCTGGGCAGGACAGGCGTGGGGCACCACCGACAAACTAAAGATAGCACACACTTTGGATACATTTAGAGGGTCTACTCGAGTAACCAGCATTTTCAAGTCATACCGTTTCTTCTTGTCTGAAAAAGGTCTAACTGGGGCACAGCAGTAAAAACCTATAACCAAGGGATTGTACTTCAGACCGCGCACACATGGCAGCACATATTGAGCAATAGGGCAGTGTATTACAAAATATGTCACATGTTTTTCATGTAAATGTCGGTTGTACAGTAATTAATAAGAGAGGGTGCAGACCTTCAACAACTTAGAAAACACATGAGATTTAACATGAACAAATATGAAGTGAAGCTCTAACATGCTTTAACATGCATTTTCTAGAAGTCAATGAATGATCCAAGCTTTGAGCTGAAGGAAGTAAAAAAAAGCAGGCAATGTCTCCTCCTGCAGGAAGGAAGCTGCAGTGCTGAGGCTGAGCAACAGCCAATGAGGAGGCTGTTGCTACAGCCTGACAATTAACCCTATAGAGGAAGGACAATCAATGGGTCACAACACCTACACACATTTAACTGTGAATCAGTATTTTAAAAGCCCACTTTCCAACACCTTTAATAGGCCATTACTACCTGAAGAGTACATATACGTAATGCCTTCAATAAATATGTAATGTTTTCCTAGCTGTTCCCACAATGCAGATTGGTTTTCAGGTATTCCTTTCACATTGAAGTTGCAGTCAAACACATAGGCATCGAATAATATTCATTTTTGGTTTATTGTTTTTATTATATAAGACACAGGCCTGACTCTGGTTGTCCATTTTTCATTACATCAAATGTCATTATATTATGATATATATATTCTCTCATGCCATGACTGGAGACTTAGATTTACTACATTTAAAAAATGGTCAAACTTGTGTCAATCTTTAAGTAAAAGTAATCTGTGAAGGTGTTCATCTGCGATTGTTTTTAAAAGATGTTGAGGTGCAATGTGAGTTATGCACTGATCCAATGTCATTTTATTTCTCGTTTTGAAAAGAAAACTATGTGAATATTTTAAAGAGTCAAAGCCAAATGTTGGTGATAAATTGTTTCTGTCCAATAGCTTATATATAGAAAACATGAACTATGTTGCTCTGTTCCAATCTTAACTCAATTAAGTTTTTCAATTATGAATCATTTTTGACAGTAATCAGTGCAGAGCCTGGTTTAAGTTTTAAGGACGTTTCAGCTTCATTGACCAGTATTTGTCAAAAAAATAAAAAAGAGTTATCAAATGTAAAACCTGACAATACCCTGATAAAGTGATTGTACTTCTTGCACTACATTTGACAAGTTTAACAGTGTAACTACTAACCTGTAAACGACAGAACCCTTACCAAAGCTGGTTAAAATAACTGATGCCATCAACCTCATTCAAAGCATTACACAACGCCTGCTCCACAGCACAAAGCTCACTCAGTATTCAGCTCCACTAGCTCGTCCACCTCCCGGTCAAATACAGGACATGTTTGAAATACCTTTCCTGGTCCCCTTGACGTTGTGCCTCTACCTAATCTCACCTCTTGTCTTGTCTTATTGCCCATCAGCCTGTC